TGAGGCCAGCCTGGATGCTCGGAGGAGGTTGAGGCCAGCCTGGATGCTTGGAGGAGGTTGAGGCTAGCCTGGATGCTCACAGGAGGTTGAGGCCAGCCTGGATGCTCAGAAGAGGTTGAGGCCAGCCTGGATGCTCGGAAGAGGTTGAGGCCAGCCTGGATGCTCACAGGAGGTTGAGGCTGCCATGGCCCTGCACAAGCAGCATGTTTGCCCGCTCCTCTTCCCCCTGTGTGTCATCGCACGAGCCCGGCGTTCCCCCAGGCTGCAGAAAGCGGGAAGGTGGAAACGGAGCAGCCTGCAGGGATAACCGCCCCGCTGCGCCTGGGCGCTCTGCCCTCGGGTTCTTGCAGGGGTGTGGAGATGGCAGCACCGCGCGTACCCACGTGCACCATGTCATGCATACCTGGCATGCACATGCGTATTGCATGCACCCATGCATGCACATATTTATTGCATGCACCCATGCATGCATGCGTGGTTCAGACAACCATCTGCACATATTTATTGCATGCACGCATACATGCATGTGTTGCACGCACCTGCATTTGTACGTATGCCTCGCATGCACCCGTGCACGCCCACTGCCTGCTGCAGGAGCAGCCTCTGAAAGGCTCGGCCGTGCATGCTTGGCGCATGCCGCGCTGGGGCACTGGGTATTCCCTGCTTTGACGCAGCTCCGTGAGGAGGTGGGAGTCATTTCCGAGCGCCTGCAAGTGCTGTGAAGTCTCAAAATTCAAAAAGAAAAAGAAAAGCAACTTCCAAAAGTGCCGGCTATTTTTATACATCTCAATTTCCTCATTAACGGTGACATTATCTCCTCGCCCGTGGAGAGGCGGCTCTTGGTCTGCGCGAGCCGCAGAAGCGCCACCAGCTAATGAATTCCCCAGGGCCGGGTAATTTTGCACTCAGCTGCTTCCTCGGAGCGGCTCCCGCACGCGCCGGCGCCGCGGCTCGCTCCGGAGGGCACCGGCGCTGCGGGGCCTGGCACAGCGGCTCCGCGTGCGCAGGGCACCCCCGTGCATGGCCACGCGCTGGCACGCGGCCGTGCCCAGGCGCGCAGCGAGGGCGCTCCCGCCGCGCGCTCCTGGCGAGGCGGCGCGAGCCAAGCGGCGTCTCCAATTAGCCCGAGCGTTTAATTTGATACAACGAGCGAGTGGAAAACATACGCGTGCCGCGGTGCGAGAGTGTCGCCTCTAATTAGGAATTATCTCAGTCCCGCGGCAGCCCCGGCACGTCCGTAATCGCTTCCTGAGTGGCTTGACGAGGGGCTCTGGGCTGCGGGTGGATGCACGGGGGATGTGGCAGGGAATGGGGTGTCCCTGTGGGACAGCCTGGCTGCACCACCCATGGRTTCCTGGCTGCGCTGTGTGTGGGTTGGAACAACCCAGCTGCACCGTGCATGAGTTGAGACAGCCCTGGTGCACCGTGCATGGGTTGGAACACCCTGGCTGTGCCATGCATGGGTTGGGAYACCCGACTGCACCATGCATGGGTTGGGACAGCTGTGCTGCACCGTGCATGTATCAGGACACCCAGCTGTGCCATGCATGGGTCAGGACACCCAGCTGCATTATGCATGGGTCGGGACACCCGACTGCACCRTGCATGGGTCGGGACAGCCCTGCTGAACTGTGCGTGGGCCAGAACACCCATCTGCACTGTGCATGAGTTGGGACACCGGGCTGCACCGTACACGGGTTGGGACAACTGGCTGCACCATGCATGGGTCAGGACACCCAGCTGCACCATGCATGGGTTGGGATACCCGGCTGCACTATGGATGGTTTGAGACTTCCCTGCTGCACCTTGCATAGGTCAGGACACCCAGCTGCACCGTGCATGGGTCGGGACAGCCCTGCTGCACCGTGCATAGGTCAGGACACCCAGCTGCACCGTGCATGGGTCGGGACAACCCTGCTGCACCGTGCATGGGTCGGGACAACCCTGCTGCACCGTGCATAGGTCAGGATCACCGGTTGCACCATGCATGGGTTGGGATACCTGGCTGCACCGTGCATGGGTCAGGACACTCAGCTGCATTATGCATGGGTAAGGACACCCCGCTGCACCGTGCATGGGTTGGGATACCCGGCTGCACC